AAAGGATTTAAATATCAATGTTGGAAAGATAGACGTAACAGATTCTCCAGGTCTTAGTGGCAGATTTTTGGTTACAGCTTTGCCTACCATATATCAGTAAGTATACAATTATACTCTTTAATAATTTATTTTGCTATAGATATACATATATGGTAAAATTATGTTAATATTATATGTATATATATATATTAACATAATTATTTTTTAATATTTTGCAAATTAATCTGTATTAAATTTTATAATTATGTATCTTAGAATTAATTTTTTATTTTCTAGTGTAAACGATGGAATATTTAGGCAGTATAAGAGTCCGAGAGATATATCATCATTGATCGAATTTGTATCTGAAAAGACATGGACAAAAGTGGATCCGATATCTAGTTGGAAAAATCCAACTTCATTCCACATGTCATTTTTAAGTCAATTTTTTAAGTTATCTCAAATGTTACGTGTAAGTTACACACACACACACACAAAATAATATTACGTCTATTGTAAAAATTTCAATGGAACATTACTGTTTTCACTCAGAATATCCACAATCAACTTTTGGAAGATGTTGGACTACCTGTGTGGGGTAGTTACTTGATTTTTGCTGCTGCAACAGTTGTTTTAGGCACAATATTAGGACTGGTAAGAATAATATATTTTATAATTATGTGATACATAAAATTTATATATCTAACAAACAGATGATATTAACTGTATTTGTGATTGTAGCTTGTTGTGTGTTTGATTGACTTCTTTTTCCCACAAAAACCGGCACAGCAACAAGGCAAGAAGAAACAGACTGGTGCAACAGATAGTGCTATTCAAGAGAAAAATTCAGACGAGGATGAAATTGCAGAAAACATTGGGGATGATTTAATAGATGAAGAAGAATCTGAAACAGAGGAGCCTGAAACGAAGGAATCTGAAGCAAAGGAATCTGAAACAAAGGAATCTGAGATGAATGAAGTAGAAACGAGTGAGAAAGATAAAGACAGTAAAGCTGATACCAGTAGTCCTAATATTCGCAAGCGTAAGCCACGCAAGGCTGACTAGAGATTAATTCGTTTGATGTAAATATTCAGCAAACATAAATTAATTGTGACTAGCCCTTGGTGGTATTCTCCCAAAGTCATTCCTGTGCATTGAAATGAGTCGATGCAACATACTATTGTTATTTCACATCTCAAAATATGGATAAGTGATATGGATTATCCAAGGGAACGATTTATAGATGTTTGTCGTCTCTTGTATGTTAAAAAATTCCAGTGAATGAAATTCAAAATATCATTGCCTATAAAAATTTTCTTATCTACAAATATTGGAAACTATCTACATTTTGGAAATGCAAATGTATACTTCAGATATTATTCAGTAAAATTTTAGGAGCTAGCAGGCGTTCCTGCTGTCAAATGTTCTCAGGGCTTAATAATTTCGTTGAAGCAATGAGAATATATAAATATATTGGAAGGACTTTTTCAAGATCGTGACATACGTTTCAGATATTTTAACAAGTTTATTATACAATAGTTGAAAATTTTTGAAATGGCAAAAAATGTTTGATTATGATATATTTACTTTTTGTATACATTTTCTATAAAACGTTTGAGACTGCAGAGTAAAAGCTTATAAATCTAAATATTTGTATGAACATTTTTTTCTTTAGAGAAAAATAAGTTTAAAAAATATTTGATATTTATTTTTCAAATATTGATGTTTCATAGTGATGAAAGAAAGAAAAAAATATTAAAGTCATGAGTATAATAATATCATAAAGTAAGTATCTAATTTTTAGAAATTAGGAAAAGAACTATAATAGCATTTATAGTTCTTTTATCTTCTTTAAGGTTACACTTTACAAAATCATTTATAAATCTATTTATTAATTACAGTTGATTTATTAAAAATATTACAAATTTCTACTTACAATTCCTTTTCTTCGATCATATTTAAAAAAAATATTTGAAAGTAGCAAAAAATGAATTGAAAACTATTTAAGAGTAATTATTACTTTTATAAGACTTATATATGCACACATATTTTTCAAGTTTAAATATACATAGTACTTCGCAATTAAAGTCATTTAACATATAATCATACATTTATTTATATAAGAGGAAAATCATAAGTCTTTTCATAAAAGCTGATAATCTAATTAAAATATAATAATATAATATATTAATAGCTGATGTTTATTGTTATCAGGCATTAGAGATTGTCATTGCGTTGTTTCTTAGTGTATTTAAGGAGACATTGTTAACATTATTTGTGTCATTCTATACTTGTTTTATGTCTAAACTATGAAGATAGAATGACACAAATAGCGCTAATAGTGTTTCCTCAAACGCATTCTCCGATAGCTTTTAGCATTATTATGACTAAATTTATAGTCTTTATCATACAATTAGTAGGATCCACAGATCTTAACATGTCTTTACTCATTATCAATCGTTTGTTACCGAGTGTCCCGTAAAGACCATAACAACGCTTAAGAGTAGATTCCTGAAATCATTTTAAAATGAAAATCTTAATACCAAAATATTGAGGCCATAAAAGTTTTTTAACTATAAGCATTTAGCGAATTAAATCGTCTAAAATTCACGTGTTCAGATGTTGGTATTTTGCATTGTATTATACTAACGACATCCGAACTCACAAACTTTAAATGATTTGCTAACTTTATATATTTAATCCGATATCACATGAAAACAGTAAAATCAAATCCGAATGAATTCGTAATTTTTAATTCTGTTAATTTTATTATATAATTAGTTAACCAAACTATTATAACAAACTTAATGATAAATAAGTATTGGAATATAACGAAAAAAATGTGTGATGAAAAGCGAAGACAGGGAAGATTTGAAGCCAGAAAGATAATGCATTAGATAACAATATAGAACTTGTTAGCTATAGGAAAGAAAATTACCCTTAACCCTAGTATTATTAACTTTTGAATTTAGAACTGGTAATTTTGTATTGTTTTAATACAGCTAATGAGAATTTTCGTGTCAAAATGATCTTGGGAATCTATCCTTAATTATTACGATCTTTATGAGACACCCACAACGGAATATCTTGTGTACTGATTATTCTGTTCGAATCTAGTGTTCTTTCTTTCTCTATCCTAATAAATTATAAAAATTTCCATCATGATCCATATGAAATTTATGATTGATTTAGTATAGAAAGTGAATATTACTTTTTGCAATAAAACTTGACTTGCATTTTTATAAAGGCCTACTTTAGCTTGATACGTTTTCAAGCTTGACTTAACTAACATTTATGTAGTATGAAAAAAGATCTTTAGTTAGAAAGAACACATTAACTATCTCTAAAAAGTTTCATTTTATTGCAAATACGCAATCTTATTTGGAATATGAATAAATGCGAAGTCTTTATCCTTAAATGAGTATGATTATTGAATATTGCTTACATTTTCATTTTCTGTGTATATATTTGAACATGATTTTTAGTGAACTTTTGTTTTTATTACGTTATAACAATGTCTTCCTCATCATTTTCAATATATATCTTATATATATATATATGTGTGTGTATACGCGCATTTATATAT